TAAAACTTGGTTAGACAATAAATGTAAATCTGATAGGAACAATGTGTATATTTGACAGACAAACAACTGCAAGCCATGGAGGTTCTACCCCCGCTGATACTGTTTCTAGAGCTAATGATCAAACTTCGGTCATAAGTTTTCTGCAACTGAAGGGAATTGGAAACATAAATATTTAGAAGCAAACTATTTGGGACATTGAATTTATTGTGAATTTTAACTGTGTTCTGATCAGAGTTTGAAGTGTTTTGCTTTAAGCCACTGAGTGCAAACAGTAACTGTAATGGTTAGGGTTCTGTAATAATTCTGAAAATTTTAGTTAAACTTTTGTTGCTCTTTATTTGACTTCTGTGTTACTCTAGGACCATGGCTGCTGATGGGCTTTATTCAGCTGCACTGTGTCTTAGATGAGAAACTGTGGCTCAAAGATGTATTTTTCCTTCTTTTCTGTGAATTCCCAGAGCAAATGCAGTTACTCTCTTCTTTACTTCACCTTTCACCCAACTGAAGAGAAAAAAAAATCATAGCAGAAGCTATTTTTGTCCTATTTATGAAAATAAACAAATAGGCTCTGAATGTGTTCACTCATGCTCAGTTCCAAAAGTGCATTACATACTGCTGTGGTTTCAATGTGTCCCCCAAATTCAGGTTGAAGCCTAACACCCAAGATGATGGTAATAGGATATGGGCTTCTGGGAGGTGATTAGGTCATGAGTGTGGAGCCCTCATGAACGGGATTAGTGCCCTTATGAAAGAGGCTCCAGGGAGCTCCTTAGCCCCTTACACCAGCTGAGGATACCACAAATGACTGTGTTGGCACCTTGGTCTCCAGAGCTGGGAGAAATAAATGTCTTGTTTATAAGTTACCTAATCTCTAGTATTTTGTTACAGCTATCTGAATGGCTGACAATCAATATCTTTCAGAGTTTCTCTATTATATCATATTTGTAGGTTATATGTATTTAAAACAATCTAGACAATTAAAAAAGGCAAAATATAGGATGATAGATAATGGGATATTGGGGGGGGGGATTGGCAGTAAGGTGATTGACAGGCTAGATTGAAGACAATAAAAGGAATAATAAAATAATGAGAGAAAAAAGGAAAAGCAAAAACTGCAAATGTTTATAGATTATGAATCTGCTGAAGACATAAAGTCTGTCATTCCTTCTCCTTGAAAACAAGCAAGATCAGAATAGATCCCCTCTAAAGGTTGCATGGATAGAACATTTTTGTGTATAAGATACTGTTAACGTAAAAGTATTCAAAGAATTTTTGTGAGTTTATTTGAGCCAAACTGTCGACAGTTACTGGGAAGCAGTATCTCAAGGGATTGGGATAATGCTACAGGGAATGTTGGTTTCTCATCTATTTTTATACATTGCAATTAAAGGAGGGGACATAGGCGGGTTACATGAACCATTGGTGATAGATTAGAGATGGGAGAAAGCAAAGCCGGGGGAGGGGGTAGGGGAGGCGCGGGGGCAGACCCCGGTATTGGATAAAAAGTAAAATGATAAACACATACTTAGGTGGGTGCAGGATAGTTAACAGTCAGCAATTAATGATAATAACAATGGAGGTATTTGTGGTGTCTGTCCTGGCATTCAGGCACATTAGATTGTGCCCCAAAAGGTCTGGAAAAAGGGAAGTTGCAAATTATCCAAACATTTGAAGGATACGTTATTGTAGATGCAAAAAGACAGATAGGCTCAGTTAAGGTGAAGGTTGATCTTGTCGGCGAAAGTACTGGCCTAGGACATGATTACCCACTGTAACTGCTTTTAGTTAAAGTTTTAATTTGACCATCTTTTGTGGTTACTTTAGGTCTTTAGGTTTGTAGGACTGCCATGCAGGCCTTCCCTGAACTTGTTAGGTTAGCATGTGGCGCCCCCACCCTTCACAGTACTGTTAATTGTTTATTTACAAATGCTTATGAGAGAGATCTGGTAGGTGTGTGTAGTACAGAGTGCAATGAAGAGAGCCCTAGCTCTACTGCTATCTTGTTTTATGACTTTTGGCAAAAATTTCACTTCACTGAGTTTTCTTGTCTTAGAAGGAGATTAGAGTAGATGCTAGATGCTTCCATAGGTCCCATTCACATTCTCCTAAACCTGTACCCAGATGGTGTGGGAGTTAATTACAGTGAACATGGAGAAGTCCCTCTTCTTAACAGCGAGGGTGAACCTAGTCTCAAGAGTGTAAAAATGTTATTCCTTAAGTATAATACTTTTGTTTTCTGAAAAATCAGCAACCAAACAAGGGAAAAGAAATTGCCCACCGCACATCTTTTTTTCAATCTGCAAAGAAACTTTCATTGCAGAGTTAAGCCTGGATCAACCTCTCCTTATTAGTTTATATTACCTTCCATTTCTTTTTTAATAGCTGCATAGTACTTCATTGTATAGGTGAATAATGTTTTATTCACAAGATCTGTTGCTGACCATAGGCTATTTCAAAGAGTGCCACAGTAAATTACTATGTGTGTATTTAATGAAAACATAAATTTATTTTTCTCTTAGGGTTCTGTGAGTAACGGGGATCAATTGATGGGATTCAGGGGTTCTCACTTGGAGTCTCTCAAGCAAGTGTAGGTGGAAGCTCGGGCTGCAGTCTCTTCAGCCAGAGTGCAAGGAGCTTAAACCAAAGGCATGGTGGCCCAAGGACCGAAGTGCCCTTCTCTGACCTCCTGGGTCAGAAGCAGCAATCAGCTATCAGAGCATAGGTTCCCAGTATTTGGTGGGCAGGGTCTTTTGCCCACCTTGGCTCCTGCAAGCTCTGTTTAAGCTGCTCCAGGAACCAGTTTATTGCCGCCTGTCATGTGACTGGGGTGGAGGAAGGGAAGCTGCTACTGAGCTGAGCTAAAATTAACCACAGTATACTGTTCCAGAGTTCCAAAATAGTGACGTCAGGTAGATGCCCTCGTGCAGCGGTTGTCTAGATGGAGAGAGAGATTCTTCCTACTCTGTCTTCCCAGAATCTTCTATCTTGCATATGTTATTTGGTATTGTTGGCGACACATCTTCAGGGTGAGATACTGCAACGTACTCTGTGTGGAATTGTACAGTTTTGCATTCCCACTAGCAGTGGATGAAGTGCCTGTGTCCCGTAGCCTCGACAGCAGTGCATTGTCAAGCTATTGAGTTTTTGCTGATCTGGGATGAGTAATAATATTTTAATGTAGTGATAAACTAAAGCCCAAGGAGAGAAAACAATATACAAAACTGAATTTTTAATTTAAAAAATGTTTTTTAAAAATATATGTATGTTTTTTTGATTTTTACACAGAGAGGAATTGAGAGGGATAGAGAGCTAGAAACGTTGATGAGAGAGAAACATTGACCAGCTGTCTCTTGCACACTCCTCACCGGGGATGTGCCCGCAACCAAGGTACGTGCCCTTGACTGGAATCGAACCTGGGACCTTTCAGTCCGCAGACTGATGCTCTATCCACTGAGCCAAACCAGTTTCGGCTTAAAAAATGCTTTTAATACAGTGTGGAAAATAGTGTTCGAATATGAAACCGGACTGTCAATGGGTCCGTGCTGACTGTTAAGTAGAGATAGGGTTGAATCATACCTGAGCTTTTATTCCAATACCGCCAGCAGTATAGGAGAGCAGCAGGTCATCCACTGAAGTCTGCTCTGCAGCCCCCCATAAGCCAGCTGCTTATATAGGGTAGGACAAAGATTACATGGGGAAGTAGGCAGTGCAGGCTGGGTTGGGACTCTGTTGTTTGGACAACAAGATTGTTAATCTTTCCATGATAATAGGCAGTTCTGGAATGGGAATGGACCACATTCTAACATTGACTTCCAGGTTGTCTCCCAGATTCCCTGGGGTCATGCAATGCCCAGCCAGGTTAGATTGTTCTTTCTTTTAAGCAGTCAATCACGGTTAACAGCATGATGAATATTTCCCATAACCAAAGCTAGTCCCCAATATTCTGTTTTTGCCCTTAACAAAATCTCACTCCTGAAGGAAAAAACAAAGGTCCCCTACTGGAGGGACTAAGAAATGGCATATCCTGTCCTAACCAGTTTGGCTCAGTGGATAGACCTTGGCCTATGGACAGACCACAGGGTCCGGGTTTGATTCTGGTCAAGGGAATGTACCTAGGTTGCAGGCTCCTCCCTCGCCGGGGCCTAGGTCGGGTTCATGCAGGAGGCAACCATTTGAAGTGCCCTTCTCACATTGATGTTTCTGTCTGTCTTTCCCTCTCTCTCCCATGCTCTCTAAAAATCATTGGAAAAATACCCTCAGGTGAGGATAAAAAAAAAAAGAAAGAAAGAAATTTATACCCTATGAAAGAGAAATCTTGAAAATTTCTAAAGAAAGTTGTCGTTTTTTCGTGGTGAAGGGGCAGGACTCCATGTTGATGAAAACACCTAGGTAACTGTGGTGGCCGACAGTGGCAGCAGCAGCAGGGTGATGGGGGCACCACCTTCCCCTGATCAGCCCGGTCACCTCCCACAGAGAGAGGCCAGACTGCAGCTTAGGGAACAGGCCTAAGCCATCAGTAAGACATCCCCTGAAGGCTCTTAGGCTGTGAAGAGGGGGCAGGTTGGGCTGAAGGACCCCTCCCCTCTCCAGCCCAGTGTACCAATTTTCGTGCACCAGGCCTCTAGTTGTTCTATACTGAGCTGGGAAAGGTAATTAACACAGCACAGTTAGAATACAATCATAAGTTCAGGTTAATGTAAAAAAATGAGAAAGATATGAGAGTGATGGGGCCTTAAATTAAAAAAAGATGGGGGTGTTTTGTAGTGAACCAAATTCTCCTCATTTGAACTTGTTTTATTGGAAATGGGATGATCTTATAAACTGATTTAAGTTGGATATTATAGTCACAAATTGTAATATCCCAAGTGGTACATAAGTAGTATAGTATTGTAAGTATAATATTAAAGTTTGAAATGCTCTTTATCTTTCATGCTTGTAAAACAAAATCATAGTTGGATATTTGGAATAGTTAAGTAACATGTCTCTCTTTTACTTTTTAGGATTTAAGTGCCCTGTATGCTCAAAATTTATACCCTCAGATGAAATGGATTTACATCTTGTGATGTGTTTAACAAAGCCAAGAATAACCTATAATGGTAAGTCCTGTAATTTAATGTCTTAAATGAGAATTACCTTAGATTTAATGAACTTCCTGGTTCAGTTAAAATTTAAAAGGCCAGGAAGCACCACTATGAGCCCTGGAGGCCTGCTGGTTTCAGTTAGGCTTGGTGCTTTGGCTGTGCCATTATTTCCTGACCACAGTGTCTCTAGATATTCAAAACCCTAGAAGAGATTTTCCATGTGGTTTTGGTACATTTTGAAATAGACTTGAAAACAAAAAATCAAATAGTTCACTCTTGACTTTAAATAAATGGAATAAAATAAAGGAAAAATGAGAGCTTTTCCTAAAATTTCATGAATAGAAGGACAAAATTCAAAAATTATGAGAAATTTCAGATTTTTCAGATGTACAATTTGGTTTGAAATAGAATAAGTATGAAGAATGCCAGTAAATAGTGAATCCAATTGAAAGATTGACTTAATTCAACAAATGTTTTGTGAATACACTTAAGTTAAAGAATGGTGTTAGGAACTTGAGATGAAACTGACTAAAACACAATGGACCCTTCAATCTGGGATCATCCACAGGTTAATCAGCGTAGGAACATTTAATAATCTGGGATTTCTCTTCATTAAAAAAATAATGTTGGGAGAGGTAGAATTTAGCATTGAAATGGACATGTTACTTTGAGTAGCTTTTTTTTTTTTTTTTTTTTCCAAATTGGTTTAGGAATCTCATAAGATAGTGTTTCGGCCACACTATTACAGTAGTGACAATAGAACACTTTTTCCCATTTTCCCATTTCCCATAAGTAAAAGTATTGTTTAGTAAATGTACCTTTTGGTTATATCCATACCTTTTTATATTATGAAATTGACATTTTTTTTATTTTTTATTGATTTTGTACAGAGAGGAAGGGAGAGAGATAGAGAGTTAGAAACATCGATGAGAGAGTGTCATCGATCAGTTGCCTCTTGCACACCCCCTACTGGGAATATACCCGCGACCAAGGTACATGCCCTTGACCGGAATCGAACCTGGGTCCCTTCAGTCCCCAAGCCGACGCTCTATCCATTGAGCCAAACCGGTCCCGGCTATATTATGAAATTGAATTGGCTACTTTGCATAATGCAGTTGAATTTCAGTTACTTAAGAAATAAAAAAGCTTTCCCATTTTCCCTCTAATTTCAGGCAAAAGTGATTGGGCTTTCTCATACTTACACTATTATCTTATTGTTACTCTATAATTATTATGTTTATTATCGATGTCTTTAAAGTAAATATCCTTAAATCTTAATACTCTGGCCTTGAACTTTAAAAGCACAAATGTATTTCTTTTGTCCATGTAAAATAGTTGCACACAGTCTTAGTATTCTGTACATTTACTTTTTGTACAATATATTTAGAAAACAGTCTTTTATGTGTCAATATTTGGATAAAGTCATTAAAGTTTTCTATATCACTTGTTTGAGATCTTAAAGAACCAATAGGTAGTTTTCTGCTTGGAGATACTGTAAACAGAAGATTTAGGTGAGTCAGAATCTTTGAAACAAGACTCTTTTTAGTCACCTGGACACCTCACAGCTTCATATTTGAATTCCTAGAAGTTGATTCCTTAGAGAAATATGCATCTAAATTGTGTTGTTAAACAAAATTCAGCTGAATACATTTAAATATCTAATTGACTTTATTCAGTGTTTCAGGAATTGGGCAATATCCCATCTAGCTGATACTGGGACTGTACATAATGAAGGGCTTTTACAGGCAAAGGTGGGGCCAGATAAGGAAGTTTTTATGAAAGAGCCAGTAGTTTGAGGCAAGACCATCTTTCTTGACGGGAAGATGGGTCTGTCCAGCAGATTACCTAGCTAGTGTTGATCAGCTAATTTCAGATTGACTGGCTATAGGTTACATTCCTGGGAGAGGCTGAAACTGCAATTAGGTGAGGTATTAAGCTTTGATTTGCTGACTTGGGACTTAGCACAAGTGACTCCATCTTTGGCCTGTTGTCTCTTTTTTAACAACTCAAAAGAGAATTTTATTCAGCATAGTGGTTATTAATTTATACTTCTTGCAGTCTTATCTAAAGTAGCTAGATCTGAATTTTTGAATTCTATATGTTATATGTATATGACTTAACTGTACAAACATTCATAGTGAGCAAGGAGGACTGGACTTGTTTTTTATGCTGGATGTATTTATAATCAAATTCTAGAAGCGGATGAATTGTAGAAATTTGAATATAAGTTGGTAATTTGCAGTTTCAAATTCATACTCACAGAGATGATATTCTAAATGTTAGCCTAGCCCGCAACAACTTAAAAAAAACACCTGTGAATATATCAAAATACCAAAGTCCCAGTAACTGAAGAACAGAATTGACTGATGAGGTAGAAGCTCCTCAGGGTTTAGGCAGCTGGTTCAACAGAGGTTCAGATAGGAGGTCCAGAGCCATCACAGAGGGAGGATTCAGAGTGTTGTGGGTGGTTATCTACTACTGGTGGTATTTTGGTAGGATGGGGAAAATTTCAAAACCCCACAGTGAGTGTCCGTCTGTATAGATTGCCCTTAAATCAGGGACTGCCTACTTCATATACCTTCCCTCTTCTCGTACTTCAGTTTATGCACCTAGAGATTCATTGTGTAGTCGGTGAACGTGATACAAATTTTATGAGCATACTCACTCTTCATTTCCTCGTTCCCCATCTTCTAAAATGTTTAAGAACGAGCCAAAACATGAGGTAAACATTGTCAGCAAATTCTTAGTCTTGGTTTTGTTGGTTTTTAAACTTCACTGGATCTTAGCATGTTTTGTGTCTATTATAAAGTTCAGTTTTTATTTTAGAATTCTGTGGTTGAGGGCAGTAAAATTTGTATTTAAGAAAACTTTGTTTTTTCTTTAATTGGTATCTTTTATTTGTGTGTGTGCACTTGTACCTGGAGGGGAGGGGTAGCTTGAAATAAGTTTGTCTTCTGAGAATTCATGATAAACTCATGTAGTGAATCAAAGCAGAGCTTTTTCAAATCATCAGAAAGAAGTAAGATGTTACTCTTACTCTGTTAAATTGACATATTTGAAGAAATATGTATGGAGTCATTTGGTAGGGAACTGATTCTGTAATGAAAGTGAGTTAAAGGAATCCACCTGTGTGCTGTCCTTAGGAGGAAGTGCTGTCAAGCTCACTGGAATGTGGAGGCAGATGCTGCAGCCTTCAGGTGCCTGGCTTCTGTGCGCGCGGTGCAGGCAGCGGCAACGTGCTTCCTCCCTCTGGATACTGTCTGGCTTTTCAGCCAGTTGTGGTTCCCATTATAAGTTATACACTTTGCTTTCTGCCTTACATACTACATTTTCTTGGTTTTAAGACACACATCCTTTACATACACACACTTTTTAATGTTTCTCAATTCAGTATGTTTTCTGAATGGGCATGTCTCTTACAAGTGAGGCTAAAAAAAAAAAATTGCCAGCAACCACCAAGCAGAATTTTAAATAAGGAGGTGGTTATTGTCTGAGTTTCTGTGAACTTGCCCTTCTGTGGAAGACTTCTGTTATTATTTATCTTTTTGTAAGAGAACATTTATTTGGTAAATTATAGAGGTAGAAGAAGTAATTTCTAGAAGAAATGGGCTTAGGAAACAAGGTAAGAAAGCAGATGAAGGGCCACTGGAGTTTGGGAGTGAGGATGTTGATAATTACAGGCTGGAGGGGAGAAAGGAGGCAAGGGAAGGGGAAAGGCAGGGATGTGCTCCTGGAGAAGGGACAGTGCCCGATTTCTGTTATTGGATTTGGTGCCTGTGCTCATGTGTTTGAATTGGTGATTTCTCTGGCTGAGTTTTAACCTAAGTGTGATTCCTGATTGCAGTTTTAAGTGACTTAATAAAGATTACATTATAGAGCGGCATTGAAGTGAAGTGATTTTTTTTTTTGTACTATAAATTGGCTGTCAAGCCATGAAGTAAAAAAATTAATGCAGTAGGAAGTGTCACATCTCTTACTCTATATTATGGAAATTTCAAAATAGGCGGTATCCCAGAAGAGGTTGGCTAAACTATTCTAAAACCTACATGGGATTTCTATAGAAAAATAGTTACCTTCTGTAAATATATATATATATATATATATATTTTTTTTTAATTGATTTCAGAGAGGAAGGGAGAGGAGGAAGAGAGAGCTAGAAACATCAATGATGAAAGGGAATCATTGATTGGCTGCTTCCTGCACACTCCCTACTGGGGATCAAACCCACAACCTGAGCATGTGCCCTTGACCAGAATCGAACCTGGGACCCTTCAGTCCACAGGCCAGAGCTCTATTCACTGAGGCAAACCGGCTAGGGCTACCACAGCTTTTTTATCCACTCATCTGCTGATGGACACTTGGGTTGCTTCCAACTATCGCCTATTGTAAATAACGTTGCAGTGAACATAGTTGTGTATATTCTTTTGAATTAGTGTTTTGGGCTTCCTCTGTCAAATTCCCAGAAGTGGAATCTATGAGTTAGAAGGCAGTTCCATTTTACATTTTTGGGGGTAACTCCATAATGCTCCGCTCTACAATGTAATCTTTATTAAGTCACTTAAAACTGCAATCAGGAATCACACTTAGGTTAAAACTCAGCCATAGAAATCACCAATTCAAACACATGAGCATAGGCACCAAATCAAATAACAGAGGGTGCACCAATCTGCATTCCCACCTGCAGTGTACCAGGGTTCCCTTTTCTCCACATTCTTGCCAACATTTGCTATTTGTGGATTTATTGATGACAGCCATTCTGACAGGTGTGGAGTGATCTTACTTTTTTTTTTTTCCTTTTTTTTTTTTTTTAATATATTTTATTGATTTTTTTGCAGAGAGGAAGAGGGAGGGATAGGGAATTAGAAACATCGATGAGAGAGAATCATCGATCGGCTGCCTCTTGCACACCCCCCACTGGGAATGTGCACCGGTGGGGTCCCTCGGCCAGGCCTGCACCCTCTTGCAATCTCGGACCCCTAGAGGGATATTGGAAAGTTGGTTTTGGCCCAGTCCCC